TTGGAATGAACATTGTGTGATATTCCTTTATCTGTAAGGTAATTCTGGGTTATACATTTATATTCATGAATTGTTCACATTTTCACATGGGAAAAGCAGCAGAATGTCTTAAAAATGACTGAACTGTTTCACCCGACTGCTTTTAAGTTCAAATTAATGGAGTATTTGAGGCAAATTTCATTTTATTCTCCATTTTCAGAAAATAATTATTTCTATCTTCTGTTTTAATCATGAAAAAAGATTTTCTTTTTTGATTTATTTCAGTTATTTCTGCAGTTTGACTTTTAAAAAAATTGTGATATTTGTCATTCATTTTAGTTTATTTTCATAATTTATGGAACTTAAATTTTTGTTGATTATATTTTGTATTTAAAAAATTAAATCACAGTATTTAAAATATTTTTAAATTATTTTATATTTATTTTTATTAACACTGCTCTTGGTTTTCATAGTCCTATGCATTTTAAAATTGTTGTCTATACCTCTGTTCATACGGAGTGCCTTGTCATGCAAAACTGAAGTAATATTAATATTGATTACAAAATGTATATATACATCTTCAAATAAATAAATATCCTGGTGACATAAAATAAAAAAAAATTAATATTTTATTGCAAAGCTTATTTTGTTAACTGCAGTTTTATTTATTTGTTTTAGTATTTTATTTTGTAAAGTTTCTGTATGTATTTCACAGACTTATTTTTTAACTTGTCTTTATTTCATGGTCTAATATTCAAATGAGGGGGCGGAGCAACTTCAATTCTGTTTTGCGTTAATAAGTAAATAAATCACGATTGACACAATAAGATCCCCATTCATCTTAAAAATATGTTTATTTTTATTTCATGGCAACATAAATTTATTTGATAGAGTATCTATTTATTTTTTAAATAAATGTTATTTATTTTTTAAATAAATGTTATTTATTTAAAAATAAAATTAATACATTTAAACACGGCACATATAATTCATTCGTTAATAAATTATTTTTGTATTTTTTGACAAGTTAGCTGAGGTGGGCAGACTACCCAGGAATTGTACTCAAGTAAAAGTAGAACTACTTTGACAGATTTATACTAAAAGAAAAGTAGCCATCAAAGAAATTACTCAAGTAGTAAAAAAGTTTTTGTTTTTTTTGTAAAAAAAAGAAAATCTACGCAAGTACTGATCAAATTATCAAAGTTACATCAGATGGACCAAAATATAAAGTTAAGTGGAAGTTTTGGTATTTCAAGGACCAAAATGACAACAATTCAAATAAGAAACAAAAAATAAAATCAGGCAAAAGAAAATTTTTCCAAATTAGTTTCTTTAAATAAAAAATTTATGAAACTTTAACAAAAACTGCAGTTGTTTGTCTGTGTCTGGTGGATTTTTGGCTAAAACATATTTGCTTTTCACTCAGTGGGTAGAAAATCCAGAAATTTTACTCAAGGAAGACTATAAGTCCTTCACAATAAAATTACTCAAGTAAAAGTAAAATACTCCTAGAAGTACTTTTTTTTTTAAATTACTCACTTAAATGTAATTAAGTAAATGTAGGTAGTTACTACCCAGCTCTGCAAGTTAGTTGTTTCTTGTAATTTGGCACTCTTCTCCTTCCATATAACTCACTCACGGTTTCTTTTCTTGTTTTATTTCTGTTGTTTTTCAGTTTTTATCTCATGCTAACCGTTTTAGCGTTAACCTCGTCTCTGAATAAACACTGATGGATTGATTGTGTGAACTTTCCTCTTCAAAAGGCTTTGATAACGTGAGCACAACCTGACGTCAACCCGGCTCTTTTCTCATGTCCTGTTTCAGGCTGTAATAAACAGCGTTTGGAAATTTAATACTACATCCACAAAATCCCCATATGTTCTTAAAAGCTGCTCAGCTGAACAGTTCTGGCAAACAAAGTTCATTCCATGGACCAAATATCAAGGGGCAGATGTAAAAAAAAAAAATTTAGAGCTGCATAAATGCTCCAAATGTTTAAGAGTGGCCTGTGGATCCCGAGGGGCTCGTTCGCTAACTCCCTTTGTACGCGGTACAGGATGTAACTTTGCAAGCTGGTTTTCATTCAGCCTCACTTTCCGAAGCGTCACTGCATCTTTCTTTTTTTTACCTGCAGGACAACAAGCGCGGTTTTGATGCACCAGAAAATTTAAGGTGTGGTTTTTTTGGGTATTTTTTTTTGCCTGAACAACGCGTTGACCCCGCGCGGCCTAGGTTAAAAAAGGCGGCTGATTTTCTGGTTCACAGGGCAGGTTAGCCACGGTCCCAGCAGCAGGTGACTGGAAGGAGGTCACGACGTGGTCACAGGAGGGGGGTCCGCATGCCGAACCCTCCGAACAACTGCAGGGAGGGAGGTGGAGCACAGCAGCGCCGCCTCAGCAGCACAGACCCGCTCCTCCGGTAGAAACAGACCGACCGCACAGGACCGGAAACACGTCATCTCCTCTGCATGGGCCAATCTGACTGTGATAATCTGAAATTAACGGATTTTAAAGGGGGGAGGATTATGTGTTTATAAATCAGTTACTCGCATGATTTGTTGCATCTTTCTACCAAAATGCCAATTCCAGATACGCAGAAAGATGATCAGGAATCAAAAGACGAGTTTGATTCCTGTGAATGTTTTTCCATTAGGTTGTTTTCCTCAAAAATGATACGCAGACTTCTTCATGTAGGCCTGTTGCATTAAGCATTAAAACTATTAATTGCATGATGAATTTAAACTAAATAATTTCATTTGCAAAATGTATCGTTTCTCTTTCTACCAAAAGCTGGATGATAAAAGTCTTCAGTCTGATGTTTTGGTCTCAGCTTTATGAAGGACTACTTTGTTTACATAGACTTCATAATTCATCTTATTTGTTGTTTTATTTTGGATATTTAAAATGTTCCAGTGTTAAATGTTTATTTGAATTTAAAGTTTATTGATCTTTGAAAATCTATTGAAGTTGATTTGAAAATGGTCTCAAAATAACAATATTATTGTTTATCACAATAACTTCTGGGACTATTTATCGTCCATCAAATTTGTTATTGTGACTGATGGTGCCATTTTATAGCATAATTAAGTAACTGTGTTGACTTGAATTGCTATAAAATGTTGCATATATCAAATATGACTTAAAAGAAATTTTACTCATAATTTAGGATCTTTAAATTGGGCCTCTGTCTCTTTAAGAAACTCCTGCTCTTTCTGAAGCTCCGCCTTCAGGAAGTCATCACAACATGGCTCCTCTATTAACTCTTTAACAATGTTTTTACCAGCTTTGCTCTGAGAAGCAGCAGCTCCTAACCTGAGCTCACCTACTGAGCTCAGGTGTCCATGAGCTCAGCAGGTGTTTGCTAATTGCTGCTGGCTAGTTTGAAGGAGTTGAGTGGGGGAGGAGCTTCGCCTTGAAGGCGGGGCTAGCTCCAACCAGGTGTATTGCACAGCTGAATGGTTGACAGAGATTAGATTATTTCTCAGACATGCAGGAAAGAATCAAGGCAACATTCCAGGTTTGTTTTTGATGAGGGAATAACATCATAACATGATGGAAAGGTAAAACAAAAGTTATTTTTACATGATGCTGCCCCTTTAATAAAAGTTTTCACCTTTATGTTTGTAGTAAGTAAAACAAATAACAGAATAAAAACTGTAGTTTCATTCAGCACTGAGAGGAACAGAGTGGGAACAAATGTGTTCATATTTCTGGACTTTTCATATATTGTCAAGTTGCAACAAACTTTAAATTTGCAGTATTTAACTTTTACAAAAATATTTTTATTACATACTTGTTAAAGTTATTATGTCATGACAGTATGAGACAGATAATCTGTGACAAAATCAAGCTCCTCCACCTCCTCCCAGTGCTGCAAAAATACACCGCTCCCGGTCAAAAACAACCAATCAGATCCGGGAGGCCGGCCTTAACGCTGTCAATCAACATTGTGTACTCACTGCTAAATGTGCTAATGGTGGAAAAACAACTCGTCGTCAGCGGTGGAAATGCTAACTAGCCTTAGCATTTGTGGCAGGATATGTTGTGTGAAGCAACTGTAGCTTAGAAAAGAGAAAAGGGGGAGGATTTGAGAATGAGTGATTGACAGGGCTAAGACCCGCCTCCTGGCTCTGATTGGCTGTTTCTAATTTGAAGATGGAGGAGCTCGATTTTTTTCACAGATTGTCTCATATTATACTGTCGCACCATAATTAGAATTTTAACAATTATGTAAAAAACATTTGATTCTTTTTATAAAAATTACATGCTGGAAGTTTAAGATCAACATAAGGCTTTTGTCAGGTGGATAGAAAATGACACATGGCTTCATCCCCATAAAAACATGGATGATGCAAACTCCAAAAGACACTAACAAAAAAAATAATGCAACAGAAAAACGTTGCATTATTTGAGACCAAATACCAGACCAAAGCACCAGACTGAAGACTTTTATCATCCAGAGAAAAATGATAAATCATGCAAATAGCAATTATTAAGATTGTTTTAATTTATCAATTGATTAATTGATTTATTGTTTAAAATGAAGCTCATTTTTCAGACACCAAAAAACATCAACTTACTGCTTTTTTTTTAACCGTTTGGAAAATGGAAACAATAAAAACATGCAAAATGTAGATTTTTTAAAAGGTAACGTTGATAAATAATTTGATGACTGACTGAACGTTAGAAAATCCAATCAATCGTAGCTCATTTTTCACTATTCATATATATATATCAATAAAAGCTTAAAATAACACATCTGTCTAATCAAGTTTTAAAAATGCGCCGCCGGCTCATGGTGGCATGTTTCTGCAGGTCTCCTGCAACATGTTGTCTTCTGGGCGGTATCGCCTTTCACTTCTTACCCTTCATGTTCGCTTCGCCGAGTGGCAGAGGCAGCAAGGAGGCATAAATCTCCCAAAGTACCTGCTAGATATTAGGCTAGAGGAATCTGAACACAGCAAGAATAATAGGAATAATGTAGTTATTTTGATCTGAGTGACTTTAAAATCAAGCTGCTACCTGATATGATTCATAGAGCCTGTGTGAAATTTCCTCCGCTTGGCGATCCCGTCCTTTCACATCAGAGAAGATGAATGAGCTTGATGAGCTGCTCGGTTTCTGTCTCGGCCTCCTCACATTTGGCCTTCACGCTTCCCTTCCCTCCCTCGCCGCGGAGCCGCGTTACGGGAGCCATGAGAAACGCCAGCCATCAAAGAACGACTCTGTTAGGATATCATGAGAAGGCGGAGAGGAGAAGAGTGAGAAAAGAAAGAAAACTCTGGTAATGCCTCATAAATTACGCTTTTTACGGAACGATGCGATTTGATGTGGGTGTCAGGTCCGCTTAACTGATTGGTAAGATCAGAGCCAGCGGGTTTTATCGGGCTTTGGGTTCGCCAGATGAAGCAAAAAGTGAGAAGGGAAGAGGACTGTTGGCCAAAAACAATTAGTCTCCAAGGACCGGTGCAGCTGCACCGCGCCAAAGATGTGCTCAAAGTCCAAATGTCAAACCAGATTGACTCATTTGTGGATCTGGTTCAAATATGTATGCTTTTCTATCTGGGAAGAACTCAAGACTCTTTAAACAAACTCCCTCCGGTCTTAACAGTATCTAATGACTCCGAACAGGAAGAGATAGGCAGAACAAATCGATCCCAGAGAGACAGCAAATGTAGAAATTAAATTTGTCAGCTTTTTAACAAACTTTGTTCTTTTTGCTTTCAAAAAACTCTTCCTTCCTCTTCTATTGGCGTATATTTTTTATTTCTCGCGTTTCAATCAATGTTTCTCCATGAGTCATATGAAGAGTTTGGTCATGTAATTGACAGGAACTTGGAGTGAGCATTGTGAAAGGTTTAGTGATAAAACAGAAAAGTTACTGACCTGGAAAAGGTGATCGGGACACGAACAGAGAAACAGGCGGAGGAGAAATCCACCGATGGGCAATGAAAACCAAAAAACTGAGGCAGGAAAACTGAGGAAGAGCTGCGCAGCTCCAGCTTAACTAACAAAATACTGAAATGGAGAAAACATTTTCATTAACTTAAAAACGGTAATTAATGAATAACTGGAACTATATTGTGCATTTATACAACATACTGAAATTATAGATTTAACATCCTTTGATTTTGTGTTTATGAATCTATTTTAGCCTTTCGATCTGATGTGAAATAGTTTTTTTTAGCAATTTACGGCACTCCATAATGAACATGAGAAAGTCAGGAAGGCTGTGTTAGCTAAGCTAATACAGCAGTGGTTGATTAGCCTCCGCTGCTATTAGCTAAGCTAACATGGTTGATTAGCTAATTTAATCATCTACTGATGACCTGTGGGTATAAATTTTTTATTTTTTAACTGAACCGAAACAAACTTCCACAGCACATCTGTCAGCCAAGCTACTTTTTACTTAATTAAAACTTTGTTATCTTGGTGTCGTTGTGTTGACAATTATTAGCAAAGCGCTGCGTCCCTTTTTCTTTTATACATCACTCATGCATTTAAGATTTAGCGTGTTGTGTTGCTAACTAACACTGATCTAAGAGAATTAAATGAAGATGCAGAACGGCTAACACTGTTAGCTTAATTGGTCTCTCCAAACTGCCTTTAGGTGCCATTGTTAAATTAATTTCCCAATGGGATGAATTAAGTATTTTTACATTTGAATTTAATGTGTGCATGCATTGCCTATTTCTTTGGATGTCAAAAAGTAAAGAAAAAGAAAATAAAATCATGGGAAAGGACCGTTGTTTTTTCCAGTGGTTCTGAGATTCCCAAATTAAATATCTGGTCAAGATTTTCCACATTGTGATGAATGATGTTTGGACGTTTTCTCTTGTTTCAGATTCTTTTTTCTAGAACAGTCTGATCACACGGGGGAAAGCTAGCAGACATAAATTCAGCCTCCAACACTTTAAGCCACATTTTCTTGATGACTACGATAAATTTTCAGATTAATTTGGAACAGGGATTATGAAGTCCAGCCCGTCTCCCACTTTCAAAACAACAAAATGACAGACTACCAGAAGTAATTTCTTTTACCAGCACATTTTATGCTACCAAAAATAGCAGAAATTTTATGATTTTTGATACACTCCAAAGTTCCCATATGTCTTTTATGATATTGATTTTAATCTGTCCGAGCTAAAGGGAAAACATTTCTCCCTCAAAATTGAATTTCCACACTCATTTAAATGTTATTATTTTATCACCAGCAGGGAAAACACTCTGTTTTTTTACCAATCGGATTCAAACTTGAAGTGAAAAATGCACATTTTTTATAATCCTGCACTGGTTTAACTTTAAAGCTAAAGTCCACCTGCTGCCTTAAACATGCAACTAAAGTCAACAAGAAAACTGTTTTGGTTTTAATTCAGAAATTAAAGTTCAGGAAGTTGATTTAACAAGAAACAAACCTGGGATACAAACTGTTTTCTTTGTGGGTCAAAATTGTCGACTAAAAAATACCAACCAACCTGAAATTAAGCAAATAAAGTAGCCTGATAGTTATAGTAGATCTAAATTTGAAAGGTTTTTCCTTCAAAATCTCAGAAATTTTATGATCAATCTCAGAAATTTTCTAGAAAACTTTGAAATTTCTTAGTTTCAAAATAAAATTTTTCACATTTGAAATTCAGAGATTAACAAGTTTTTTGGAGAAAATTTCTGAGATCAATCTAAAAATTGCAATTTTATTTTTTTGTAAATTGTCAACTTTTTGAACTTAGAAATTTCCACGTTTTGTTTTTGTAGAAGATTTGACATTAATCTATGCTTTTTTCTCACCATTTTGTTTCTTATTTGGAGCCCAGAAATGTTCTTGTTTTGGCCAGAAAATCTCTGAAATTACTCTCAAAATTTCAGTTTTTGGCAGAAATGTAAATTTCTTTTCTCTAGATTTTGCATGTTTGGTGTATTAAAAGAAAAGCATCTAGTTTTCAGTTTCTTTTGGTCTCTATTGGACAAATTAATTGTCAGTAATAAGAACAGGATTTGCGTCACTTTCTTTCAAAGTATGTGCTATATTTAGTCAGATTTAATAAATTAAAAAAAACTGATGAGGTGCATAATTTCAGAAAAGGCTTTTTGTTAAAGCTCAGTTAGAAAAAGACAAACACTTTGTGTTGTTCTCTACATTTTTCATTTTAAGAAAATGACAAATTAAAGTGTGAACAGGATATTATCCTCAAGCTTTGCAAACAGATTTAAAATGAACATTTGCCTTAATAACAGAAGAGTCAGATCAACGTAACACACTTCCGTCTCAGGATACAAGAACATGCCGCTAAGTATTCTGGGAAATAGTTCCCATTCTTTTTCTTCTTTCAGTTTTTTAAGTGCTAAAAACTGTAGTTACTTCATCTCTTGGAGGTTTGACAAAATCAATAAAAAGTTAACACAACGTACTACTGTAAGTTTATCTTTCACAATCACATTTAGGTTAAAAATCTAAAATTCACTAAATTACAGGCCAACTAAAAAGCGGCTAAGTGTTTCGCAGTGTGTGAGCCGACGGTGTGGAAACGCTCCGTCTGTGGAAGGTGTCGTTTCCAAACAGCAGCCAGTTGGAGACGGGGATCAGCAAGTGCAGCCGTCACATTCCACATTTTAACAAGTTTCTTACCGCGTTCAGGCTGTAGCCAAGCCGAACCACATGTAACGGAGCGGACACGGTGTCCAGTCACACAGACCGGCCGTAAGTCACGTCAAAACGCCCCGGAGGTCAACAGCTTCACCCGCAGGCGCAAAACCATGAGCACTTTCACCAAGTACAAGATTCACAATCTTTGTTTTTACACTAAAAAGATCTGCAGTGTGTTAAAATCACCTTCAGGTCTGAATGAGTCGTTCTGTCTTGGCATTTTGAAATAGAAATTATATTTCTGTTTTACACTCTGCAAAAACATAAAATCTTACAGAATAATTTTGGTCTTTTTTCCAACATAAAAATCTTAGTAGACTTGAAATAAAACAAAACTAACTTACAAGCAACTTTTATTTATTTTTTACTTTTTTTAATATTTGCACTTTATGCTACCATTTTATCTTTTTCCATATTTTTTGTTTTACTGTTAATATCTAAATGTTCCTAAACCCAAAGTTAACTTTAAAATAAATCCTAAGTAGTTTCCTTAAAACAAATATTTATATAACATGCGAGCTAACTTTAGCATTTTCTGCCAAGTTTAGATTCATATGGAAGGAAAACTGGAGAGAAAAGTCAGCACTGCAAAAACAGAAAAAAAACACAACATGCAATTCTATTTCAAAATATTTCATAAAAACAAATAGCCATGGAAAAAATTATGTTTGTCAGAAAGTCGAACCTTTCATCAAATTAGCCAAACATTCCTGTAACAGACATGCGAAACGTTTTAGTTCTACATGATGTTCAGCCACCTGGCCACGCTGCTGCTGCTTCTTTTTATCATTTTTTCATGTGGGAATTCTTTCATAATTCAGCCAGGAATGTCAGATGCGTTCTCAAGACGATGCACCTGATACTAAAAAGCAGTTCAGAGCAGCTCCAGTACAAGACGGATTGCTCCCTGGAGGCCGTTGCCGTTCTGTTTTGCTCTGGAAGCCATCTTTTTTTCCACAAAGAAACTTGCTTTGACAGCCTGTCAGTATGTCTTTAAATGTAGAAGATACTTTTTTTTTAAATCTGGGTGAATGCTAATTTCTCAAACATGTATAAGTAGAAGGATGAACATGCATAAAGTAATTTCCTGTGTTTTTGCCTATGTGTTCGGGTCGGCCGCAGAGCTCGGCTCGGTGGGGGGTTGGACGATCTGGCAGCGGCTTCAAAGAGTCCGAGACATCTCAGGTTGGGGTGGGTTTAGGTTTTAATGCCCGTGTCAAAGTTTACGGTAACTTTTCACAGGAACAGATCTGAGTTGGACCAAGCAGGTGTTAACGCTCCCATCTCTCCGCCGTTCCTTAACACCAGGTCAGGTAACTCAATAAGATAAACACATTCACACTTGAGGATGAGCCAGCAGCTGTTCTTTAACTTAAAGGCTGATTTATTATGCATTTTCCAGGCACATAGTTCTGTATTATAGCAGAGTCAAGTAACTATGTTACCTTCTATTGTTATAAACTGCTTTATATATCAAAAATAACTTCAAAGAAAATTGAATGATGCCTTGAAATGGGTCTCCGTCTCTTTAAAAACCTTCAGCAGGTTCTTAACACCGAAGTACACTTGTACAGTGGTAAAATC